CTTACTGGGCAATTAGAGACATTAATATTAGTCAAGAAATCAATGCCATTGTTGGTAACAATATCAAAATTTTTACAGCCGATTTTACTGACATGTTTACCAATCTAGAGCATAACCTAATTATTAAAAATATACAAGAATTGTTAAATTTATGTTTTAAAAATGCAGCGAAGCCAATGTTGGCCAGTAATGGATACAAAGTATTTTACACAGATGGTAAGGCACTTGTTGACAATAATTATAAGTACTATAAAAGTACGGATCTCTTATACTTAACAGAATATTTGTTACACAATAGCTACTGTTGTTTGGGGATAGCATATTTAACAAACAAAGGAGTACCACAAGGAGGTAATTTCAGTCCCCTTTAGCTGATCTTACCCTCTCCGTTATGGAATACAATTATGCAAAAAGTATAAAATGATAAAAATAAACTTCTAATACCTTACAGATATATGGATGATATCTTAATAATACATAACCAAAATGAAAGAGACATTGAAAATTGCCTTTTTAATGTGTATAAAGGAGTACTAAAATATAATAAAACTCACATAACTGATCATCATAGTAATTTTCTAGATATTTCTATTAAAGTGATAGATAATAGAATCCTAACACAACTGTATAATAAGACAGATGATTTTAACTTCAAAGTTATTCGATTTCCACACAACAACACAAACATCTCTGGTATTAATAAAGCTGCAGTTGTATATACGGAAACACTTAGAATAGCTAATACTTGTAGTAAATTCGACACGTTTGTAACAAAATTACAAGATATGAAAGTTATACTAATTAATAATGAGTACTCTATTGAATTTGTAGCCTTTAACATAATTAAATGTATTTGCAATAACAAGTATATTAGCTACAAGTATGGTATAGAGGATAGCTATAAAGGAATTAAAAAACTAGTGGAGGGGATTTTAAAATAACACATATAAGGTATCGATTTTTATCTCTTTCTTAGAAGATAACACGCTCTAAATAAGAAGTAGGCTGTTAGTTTCCCGGACATTTTCTCGTCCTTTATTCAAATTCGAATGGATTATGGTTCCTTCTGCTATTCGTAATTTGACTTGGTTCTGATGTGTTACCCTTTTACTATATCTAACTTGTTCTTATTCCTCATCTTTGTAGTTTTTCTTTGACGTCTTCTCTCCTTCTAGTAATTCACCACACTAACAATTCCCATGGTTTTCATCAACACTAACTCACCGATGAGCCTCCGGTGTTGATGAAAACAAAGTGGTTCGTCTGAGTGGAGGCGAAACGGACCACTAAGTTTATTAAATTGACCTTGAATTATACACCTTACTTTCCTTCTTATATTACAAATTAGCTAGCTAATTTAGCTTACAAGCGCAATCGCTGCAAAAGTAGTATAACGAAAGAGATTCAAGAAATATACACATAACAGGTTGTCAGATAAGGTGTGACGTTTTTTCTAAGCTTCTATGGTGGAGCTGAGCAGGTGAGAGTAATAGTAATATATAATAGTAATAGTATAATATATAATAGTAATAGTAGTATAATATAAATATGATGCCCACTGGACCAAAAACAGCAGTGACAATCTAAGAAACAAGTCAGAATCATACATTTTCCATATTGTTATGTATCTACTATCTTATGCATTGGAACGATGAAACCTCTTAGTCAGAGTGCACTCCCTTGTGTTTTCCACACTATGAAGAAAAACCATGTGACTTCGCTGTAATTGATGATGTTTTTAAAACAGGGTAGGACGTTCTCGTGGATTGAATACCAGTTTGCAATTAGACCAAAGTCGAGAAAATCAAAATTCTTGGATTGTCTTCGATTCCCTATGAGGACGTGACGATGTTACCTGGATCGATTAGATACCAGCAGTAATGAAAACCGATCAAAACTTATTGCACATTTGACATGGGGGGGGGTGTGCAAGGGTAGTTTTTCGACCACAACTTCCCGCTTCTCAAAGGCACAACCCGGGCCAAAGCCGTGTGGGGTGGACTTTCTTTGCTCTGTAGCAGGGTGAATATCGGTCGAGGAAATCCTCGACAGGGGGGTCGTACCTGTCGGGCTGGTCATGGGGGGTCGTACTCTTGGGGGTCAGTAACAGCAGTGGTATCGTGGTGCAGATAGGTAAGAGGGTATAGCGCAGCAGAAAATGAAAATATCTGAAAAAAACATGATATTAAATTTTCTTTGCAGGTTCAGTCGCTCCATTCCTCCACCTTCATGAGAAGGGCGTATTTGAAGGCAGTACAAAGAATGAAAGTGCATCCCCGCAAAGAAGACTGCCACATGTGCGCACGCGCTGCAAAGGCACCTCCTCTGCCTATCGCTCGCTCCTTCTCCCTTAATACCTCGCTGAGAATGACACTGTTGTTAGGGACCCTGTCGCAAAAACGACAACCGTGAAGGAAAAGCGCTGGGCAAAATTTATTTATTTATTTATTTATCTGTGCGTTCAATGACGCCCTTAGTGAAACATTTGGCTGCACGCAAAATTGTTATGCAGATTCAGAAAAGAACAAATAAAAAGGAATGAACAGAAACAAAAATAACCAGCTATAAAAACCCGTGATTAGTGGACACGTTATAGAAAGAAAAATGACAACAAGAGAATACAAACGAAAGAAAGTCGTTCAGGCAGGAAGCTTTCCCCAAATCAAGAGCCGAAAAGTAAGAATGGCACTGTACTTACTGGAACTGACACTAACTTTGAGTTAAAATCTCAAAGGGCTATGAAGGCTCTGGCCTGGAGATAAATGGGATACACGCTGCAGGGTAAGCCAGCACCAGTCGGCCATGATGCCCTTTGCGCCACTGACGGGGTCATGGGAGCTGAGCAAATGATGTTCTTAAGATTAGGTTACGAAATGCGTTTACTACAATGCAGCTTCTGTCAACTGGTCATGATCATATGACACCTTCGAATCGATTCTGCAACTTCGAGTGAGGTCGGATGCATGGCCTATACCTCAGACAAAATCGGATGATGACGATTGCCCCTTTTCTTATTGCTTATGTTGGAAGAATGTATTCTAGACACATTTCGAGCGTTGCCAACAATTACACTTGCAATGGTGAAGAAGGGAGCGGCTTTTTGAGTGGCCGAGAATCATCCTCGATAGATCCTCGACGCAATATCTCCTCAACTAGGAAATGTAGAAGAAAGCTAAACAGACCATCAGAAAGCGCAAACCTTCCGCTTTCCAAAACTGTCTTCCCTTTTTCAGGATCTTACGACATTAGAGAGATATTGCTTTTGAAGTGGCAAAAACTCGCATGAAAATTTCAGCATCCTCGACGTTTACTCGACGAAATTTGAGAGACCCTATCTTTCTGCATGGAAGGCTTTCAGAGCAATTTCAATACTTCTTGGAAACGCGAAATCCAGCTCTATCTAACCCTACCTCAAACTGCTTCAAAGGTTATGAAATGGAGGAATGCAACCTTTTCATCGAGGGTGTAGATTTCGACGGTTTTTTTCGGGATTTCAGCAAATCTGACCCAGTGACAATCGCGCCGCAGCTGCCGTTGAATCGGCCGTTGATTGATACACTCGGCTGTTTGATATACTCAAGCAGGAATCAAGATTGAATCGCAACCCCGTGCCTTCAGGATTTCTGTGCATTTCTGAACGAACCTGACTTTGAGGTCACACAAAGTTAATGCCTCTTTCCTCGAGTCGATATTTCAGTAAATACACAAAAGTGTGCAGCGATGAAAGACAGTGCATAGATGACAAGATGAGGCGTCCATAACATTATTTTGCAGGATTTTTTTGATTAATTAATTGAATTAATTTGCTCTGTTTTAGGGGGTCGTGCCAGGATCTCGATTTCGGGGGGGTCGTACTTCTGCGACCACGTACTCGACACGATTTTCACCCTGCTCTGTAGTACATACCTTTAGAGGACAATCAAAAATTTTGCATTCCCGTGCACAGAAATCACCCCGGCGAGAGCGTTAAGGCCTTGCAAAGTATATAAGATGCTTCAGCTGCAATTTTTTCATTTGTCAGGCGCCCTCTCATCTGTTGCGCTCTCTCGCCTCATACTCTCCTCTCCGCGCTTAGTCTCTCATTCCCTTAGCACAGCCGATTAGGAAGGTGAGTGAGCCCTAACCTAAGCGTTTTCGACGGATTCTTTTCCTTTTTTCTTTACTGCCGGCCCGTTTAAAGCGTGGCCTGATATTATTTGCTTTTTCATTGCTACTTCACGTCGCTTATTCCACCACTATACATCTTGTATCTTTAAGTAGCCTATGCGCACTGAGAATTACTGATCTAGCTTTATGGCTATTATATCATATTTTATGTATTTACCATCCAAAATCGGCTTGAACGACCTGAGGCGGCCGCGCTCGCAAAATCGCCCCGGTCCCACGCGCCAAAAAAGCCAAAACGCGCGTTGACGTCAAAGAGTTATGAATCACAGAATCTACGGTTCCTCACATGATGATCCTTAAGAGTTTGATTGTTAGATATGGACGTCCGTTTATTTATAGTAAAGGTCACTGACTAACCCTCCCACTAAATCTAGCACTGATGTGTTCCTTGTGATGTTTCTTGAGGAATGGGGAGAGGTTGTAACCGAAAACTACCGTAATCCCATCTCAAGTGTGCAATGAATTTTGATCCCTTTTCAAAAAGTTTGCTCAGCTGAAATGCAATGCAGGATTAACTAAGCACATAAACTATTTATCCACTTTCCGAACACCTTTTAACTGCTACGTAACTCGCAGGGATTAGACGATCCCTCTCAGTTGAGACCAGGGTCGACTGTCCGTTATGCAAGGTTCAGCGAGGGGGACGGTGGGCCGCGCCTGTAATTTTTCAGAGCGCATGTTTTTATTTTACGTAAACAATTTTTCAAGGAAATAGGTATACTGCTGACGAGTTGTGAGGGATTTGAAAAACATTGGACTACCTGGCCGTATTCACCGTAACCCGACCAAGTGATCGGCTTGCGCTCACGTCGCGACATCGATTCTTTTTCAAGAACCATACACGCTTTGTTATTCTGCTTCTATGCACACTATGTCTATCGATTGCGCAAAGCAACACTCTCACGTTGAATTTCACTGTTATTTGTATGGCCGGCGATCCAATCGATATCGATCGATACGGCACTTCTGGCACTACCCTACAAACCTTATCTAATGACACCTATTATGAGGTGAGCAACACAAGACTGTTCTGATTTGTTTTTGTTTTTTTTTTTTCATTTT